TAACTCTCTATCCACTGTTAACGGATAGGACTGTTTGCTTTTTGTGTCTGTGATTAAACTTGTGCCGCCTTTTTGCTCCGAATTAGAGCACCGTTAGCAATATTTATTCATCTTGTTGCCTGGGTTGAGCACTCTGTATTTGGTTGGTATGCCAGTCGATAGCACAGATTGTAAGAATGCAGTTTGAGTTCATTCTTCGTCGAAAAGATGTCCTCCGTGGTGGCATGGGATTTTCCGCACCTAGCACATGAACCAGAGGGATTTGCACCCGAGACCACATTGCTGTACCTGACTGATACGCGTGATTTTTTTGGCATGAAGGAAGAATAAGCAATAGCTTAAGGGGGACGCGGATAGCGGTATGAGGATTCGCAGACCCCAGAGGCGTCAATCAGGCATGACGTACATCCTAGTGCTGCAATCTACAGCTGAGATTCCTCTCGAAAATAAGTGTTTCATCGACCAGTAACGCAGTAAAACTCTTTCTATCAACTCTCTCTCTCTCACCCAAGTTTTGATTTGGAGGACCTTCTCTTGTCGACACAAACCGCTTGCGACAACCACATCCTCTCCAGCCCCGTGGATGTTTGCGAATGAGCAATAGATTAAAGGGGAGGCTGATAGCAGTATGGGGGAGCAATCACGTATGACGTAAATCTTGGTGATGTAATCTACAGATGAAAACCCTCTCGAAAGTAGGCGCCTCATGAACTACAACTTCGCCTACTCTCCAGCCACGTGGATGTGCAGTCGGGAGGGGGTGTATAATGAGCGCTGGCTGTCAACAAGTTTTCAGAATGTGAGAGAGAGCCAAGCAATCTGATGAATACGCCGAGTTTGGAGGTGTGGTTCATAGCAGTGAGTAATACTCGTACACACCCAAGAGTTCAGTCACTGAGACGGGTGTAACGTCGAAATGGTTCTACAGTTCTAAAAGTCAAAAGTTTATTAGGACGTTGCTTACTTACGATATTGATTAATTCACAGGACTGACCCAGTGCTACATTCCGGAATACCCTACGAACTAGAATCTCCATTTTTTCCGGAAGAATTTAATTAAAATAAGATTCTGGAGCTATTTGTTGTACGAGTTAGGACAGGTTCTGTAAGCCCCTGGATCTAACATACATAGTGTGACCTGGTTTGGTCTATTATTTCATAGCTGTGGGAAGTAGTAAGTACTGAATTCATATAACGACCTTCAAAACGTTGTTTTTTATTGTAGTTGATGTCACTATTTATGGATAATTATTTTTGTGTAGTTTTTTTTAAAATATCACGCTCAATTTTGTTACCAAGACCAAATGATACTTCACCGTCTTTTAAAAAAAGTTTACCAATTATGCACGAATAAGTAAGATCCTCAGCAAAAAGATGGCCATTTTGACATAATTCCAACTTGCATACGAAGACTGGCGTTGGCAGGATTCACTCCCAAATCTGCAATTAGCAGCCGGTAATATTTAACTTACAGACTGGTAAGCGGATGGGTACTTGCGTATTGCTTTCGGCTGAACATGTGTTTGACTGTAATATAAGAGTTGGTTCTACTGGTGGCCAAAATAAAAAAAACATATTTGACCTAGTAGGTATTATTAGATTTAACAACAGGAGACAGATGAGTGTTGTAAGTTTCGAAAGCTTACTGTACTGACAGGATAATTTCATACCGAAAGAAGAGGAAGAAAAAGGGACGAGGTCATGGACCAAAGTATATTTAGACTGACGTTCAGAAAGCACCCTCGGTTCCATTATCAGAGTAAAGAGATGGTTCTTCCTGCTGGTCGTGACTGCTTCAGCCTTGACGCCTGCCTGATATTATATCCGTGCTCTACACACCTGCTTGTTCGCCCCCTGGTTAGTGTTGACGTCTCTGAGATTGAACGCTTGTAGACTCGCGTGACATTTATCCCCTTTGCGGCCGTCGTAATTTTTGGCAAGTCAGAAGGCTTGTTGATGAACTATCACCTGACCGCCAACGGAATTCATCTGTCCCGCTTTGTCTTGGGCCTCGACAGAAGTCCTGACAGCCGTAGCAACTGTTAGTATAGGCGGATAATATTTTCGGCAAAGGCAAGGGAGATTGGAATGGCACTTTCTGGCTTATAAGCCGTCGTAAGCTAGTCATACCTCGACCCAAGTGGTGCCATATTCGAGCCTCGTACTCGCGACCTTTCTGATAAGGATCAAAAGCCCTAACCACTGGGCAACGAGCTTGTGGTCTTGTTAGTTTTAGGTCAGAGGATATTGACATTCGTTGATGAATGCTCACCAGACCGCTAACCGCTCTGGCAAGACAACGAGCTCGTGGTTCAATGGTTAGGGCGTTTGACTCCGATCAAAAGGTCACGAGTTCGGGTGGGACACCACTTGGGTCTGGGTATGACTAGCTGACCACGGCTAATAAGCCAGAAATGGCCATTCCACTCTCCCTTGTCTTTTTCGGCAATAGTATCAGTCAGAATGCTTGTGTGCCCACCCTTCGTCAGCCAGTAGTCATGCGGTTCCTGACCGAATCCTCTCGTATTTTCCTTTGACCTCGGTTGTTTTCCATCCGTGAGTTTGCCCAACTGTCCTGGTGTCTTTGCTCGAACTGACTCAAGCCGTGCGCCTAGCAGCTGGTAGGCGGGGTGCGGGTCCATAAAAATGTCCATGTGACAAGAAGACGATTATGACAAATTATAGTTTGTGCCCTTAGATTGTAATAATCAGTAATAATGACGCACAGGATACAAGATATTTAAAGAGAGTAGATACCTTCGTATCATGAACATTCGATGCAATCGCACCCTTTTTTCCATGTCTAGTCGCGAAAGTGACATTTGGTAGTGCAGTCGCAAATACATGTTTGAAGCCCGGAGAACAATAGGGCTTCCCTTCGGTTTCCACCCACTGCTAATATAATAATTCAAGGTTCAAACTCCCTATTGAGATTGAGAGGATATGAGCCCAATGCTGACTTTAGTCAGCGTCACTTCTGACTAATAATAGTGTTAGTAGTAGTACCAGTACTATAGCTCAGATACACTCCTGGTGAATACTAGTAGAAATAGCAGTAGTAGCAGTACCAGCCTTGATTTCCTTGAGTTTGTCTTGACACCTGCTGAAGGTGAGTGAGGGTGATTGGTGCGATAGTACCAGCGAAAAAGTCTACTGTCATTTAAGACTAAATTAGGCAGTGTTCTGGCCTGCGTTGGAGAAAGCGGCCTGCGTTTGATCCCCTTCGGTCATCATAGCTCTGTCTTGTCACCGGTTCGAATGGATTGAGGGGTTTAGAGTGAAGAAGACGGCACCGCATCTATTTCACTCAAATACTGCCTCTGATTACAGTCCCCGTCCTTGCTCCTGAGCACATGGTGGAATTCATCGAAACCGAAGGTCAGACTATAATAATCATCATCAGTGCAGTCGTAAAACCTACTTCCCAGACTTTATGCATTTTCGGTGACCCATCAATCAAGCGAGCGTCGATATGGAACAATTCCACATTCAGAATGATGCTTATGCATGGAGCGGTCTGTAAGTCACTGTCCACACCACGTCACTGCTACGAAATTCGGCCTTC